GCACTACCAAACACTGACAGAGCTGGGAGAAGATGGTGCAGCAGGCTCTGCCCTACCCCTCCCAAATACTCAAAGGGCAGTAAAAGGAAGAAAACCATTGGAGCTCCATCAGCAAGGCTGCTGATGGGTAAGTCTGAGGCAGGCAGTTTACAGCCATTCCGTTTCACTATCTGCTTTATGTGCTACTTTTTATCCCACTTAAAGCAACTGGAAGTGTGATGGCCTCTGCATATCACATTCATCTGGACTGGCAAATTATGTTCAGCTTTGGTTGTGCCCCTTTCCCCTGTCTTCTCATCCAGCCAGATACAAGACTGAGTGTTTAAGCAGTTGCTTTGCTGCACTACATCCACCACAGCATTTCCTAGGCAGCCATCCAGCTTTCTGGCCCTAGGATTTCTTTCCATAACCTTTTTTTTTTTTCCCTCCTGTACTCAACAGAAGGAAGGGAAAAGGGGATACCTGAAGTTACAGCTCACCTCACAGCTGTGTTCATCTGTGCAAAGCTTGCCCAGAGACATCTGAGTCTTGACTCTCCGCACGGCACACTCTTTGTCTGAAAGCCCATCAGACTGGGTGGAGATTTCAATGGGGATCTCTGGAGTCTGGGACAACATATCCTCCAGCTTCTCAGCCAGCTCATCTTCCAGTTTGGTGGCCAGCTCATCCGGGCTGTTGGAATGGTCACTTGTGTTCCCCTCCTCTCCGTCGGACACGGAGAAGTTCTCCGAGCTGAAGGTTGAGTAGGACTGGCAGCTGCTGATGCAGCGGTGAGGTCTGCAAACCAAGAGACTGCTTCAGTTGGTGTCCCAGTGCCTCTGATTCCAGGAAAAGCAGTTTCCTGGGTGCTGACACACTCTACTCCTGGGTCAGCCTGTCCCCAGGAGCCCCCTGCCAGCTACAAGAGGTCACAGCTCCTCGGTGGACACGCTTCTGCCCCTGCCCTCGCTGCAGGGCAAGGCTGAGCTGGCAAACCCCCCCAGCATGCCAGTTTGAACATGAGCAACTCTGCTCCTCAGATGAAGCAGGAGGACCAGGCAGCTTTCTTCTGAGACATTACCCCAGTCAACACCCTCATGTTAACAGTGGAGAGAGTGCAGAGTGACTGCCACATCTTCCCCCAAGCTCCCCTGGCAAACCTCTCACCTCCCCTTGATGAGAGTGTGCAATGCAGAGCAGATTCTTCCACCCCTGCTTTTAATTGGCATGTTCAGCACGAGAAGAATTGGGCACACTGAGGGTAACAGGCAGCCCAGGCTGCTCCCTCCCCTTCTCCCTAGCAGGTATTGCTCAGGCAGAGTGCATTCAATACCACCTGCCTGCTTCTCCTCACTGGGCTAAGGGCTTATTCCTTCCAAACCCATCTTTGAGCAAACCAGGTCCTATTCCTAGAGAAGGCTTCACATCAACTCCTCAAGAGCCTCTTCCCACCCTAAGAACACACCTCCAGCTGAGTCATAACTGATGGGCAAGGCTGGCAGCAAGAGCTCTGCAATGTGTTAAGCTGCCTTTTCTTGGAGCTGTGGCAATCTACCACCTTTTGAATGATTTAGTTCAAGACCTGCATCTTTAAAATCATCCATTCTTGTTTGGTCTTGTCTGCTGCATGTTCACATCCCATGATCTGCCCTGGAATATATTTTTGTTTAACAATCTCTGTTTCCCAAAGAAAGGCTGTACTGTTCAAGCTAAGTCCACTGGGAATATCTACAGCTGGCAGTGATCCCAACAGCCAGGCTAGAATTGAGGTACCTGTGCTCAAAAAATAAGCTCACAGTTATTGAATGTGGGAATCACCTCTGGCCAGAACTCAACAGCAACAGTACAAAACAGCAGCTGACTGACCATGCCAGAAGACCCACAACAGGTCATCACACCAAACCCAGGCCAGGCAATTTGTCTTCCAAGTTAGTACACCACCAAGAAGCAGCAATCATGAGCCAAAAAACCTCATCTAGTCCAGTGCTTTGCCTGCAGGCTGAGGCAGGAGGGAATCAGCTGGGAAAAGCCTGGGACCAGAGTGTGCAGGCAGAGCTGCTCTCTCCTGGCACATCCTCCTGGTTTGTGCCAAATCAGACTTCTGAGCTGAAGATCAAACCTGGGCAGCAGTGCTCGACAGCCTTAAATATGAGACATGACTTTTTTATGGTTTGATTTCCACAGCACACCTTGACAATGAGCTCTACAGGTAAACATGTTTTGGATGAAAAAAAAAACACTTCCTTTTGTTCATTTTAAACCTCCTGTTTGCTTCACTAGGTGTCCCTAACATGAATGTGAAGAACCTGTCCATTTTTTCCACATAACTCAAAATTTCATGCACCTCTAGGATCACTTTTCCTCCTGTTAGACAAAGATTTCTCAGGGATTTAATCTCTTCTTCTCCAGAAACCATCCCTAACCATTCTTGTCACACTTTTCTCAGTGTGACAAGACCTTTTCAAATTCTACCCTGCTCTTGGAGCTGGGGCAATGAAGGTGGCATTTAGGATTCAAGCTGCAGGGGTGCCATGGATGTGTACAACAACAGACAAGCTTTTATTTTCTTCCCTGCTCCTTTCCTAACAACCTTTAACCTATTTGCCCACTGGATCCCTTCTGCACTTTCAAGCAGATGCCTTCATAAAGCTACAGCACCAACTCCATCATCTGTTCCCTGAGCACAGGACTGTAAAGCCTGCTAAAGGCTTAGGTAGGAACAAGTCTTTTTTTTTAACTTCAAGTCTTATTTTACAGACAACACCATCAAATTGGAGCAGCCACGTTGTCACCCAGCTCTTCAATCCTATCTGAATTCAACTACAAAGGTGCTGGACTCTGCCTCCCTGCAGCAACAGTTAACAAACAACATCTGAAAGGCTCTACAAAGGGTCTGATTGTGGTGAAACAGATGCAGCAGCTTATTTTTATAAGTGTGGCCAAGTTGTGCTACCAACAGCCTGCAGCAGAAAAGCTGTGTGAGAGAGAACAGCTCAGAACAGGCTGAGAATAGTGAGGGAACAGGAGGGTGGACAGGGTGCACTGAAGGAGATTCTGTTCTCTTGCCAGCACCTTCCACAGCTGGTGTGCAGCTGCTGTGACACTTCTCCTGAGTTTTGTCCCCCCAAAGAGAGATTAGAGTGAATTCACCTTTTACCTTTGTCTACGAGGAAACTCCACTTCACTGTCTACTTCACCCTCTTCCTCTTCTGAAGAGTCATCACCACTCTGGCAGAAAACAAGGAGAAGGATGGTGTGACATTTGTGAGAGAACATTCAGCTACATGGTTGTCCCTTGACCTTCCAGGACAAAGTCACTGTGTCAATGGGCTACAACAATCTAGGCAAGAAAATAACCTGTGTATCAGTGAAAACTGGCTCAGACATCTTCCTACCAGGAGAATGTTTCAGGCACTCTTAGTGCTGCTGTTTCTGAAGCTGGAGTGATTGACACTGGAATGCTTTAGCAGGCACTGAGTACATAAGGTTCCAAATTGTTACAGAGGCAAATCAAGTTAATTAGCATCATACTGAAATCTACATAAATTATTCAGCTGATCTGGCACTCTTGGCTTTAGGACTTCAACCCTCTTGGACGTGAGCCTATCACAGAGCAGGATGAGGGGGTGATGCAGCCTTTGCTGGCCACTTTCACCAACTAGGAAAAGTTGAGCTTTGTTCCATTCTCTACCATTTTATTCACCTTTTCCCATTCAAAATCACCTCCCTGCACTCCTGGTTTTTAGTTTCCTTCTGTCCTATCCAGCCTGCCAATCATTCATTCAGACCCAGCTTTTATCCCATCCCAAGGTCCTCCTCCCTACATTCTGGGCCCAAACCATACTCTTGGTCTCATACTCATACTCTTCTCATTCACTTCTCCCCCTAGGCCCAGTTCTCCTGCTCTTTGAACTCCACCCAGCCTGACCCTTACTTCTCCTACCACCTGGCTGGAAGCAGGAGGAATGGAAGAACTGTTTCTGTACAACTCTGCTGTAACAACTTTTTGGTTATTGCAAAATCTTTATAAAATACCTCTGAACTATGACTTTCAGTCAAGGGGGCAGTTTCTGGCAAGTGCAGCAAAAGGCTCCTCCCTGAGACCATGGCAAATGTTGAATCTCCCTTTCCAGGCACAGCAGCACTACAATTTCTCAATGAAACTGTTACACAGCACTTAACACCACCAAATAATCTATTTACCCTTTCCTTTGTTTTGAGAAAGGCTCCAAAACATTTTGAGATGGTTTCAAGAACAAAAATTCAGTAGATGAAGTTTCAGCTCAAACAAAAACCTCCTAAACTGCAAGCAACAGAATGAGGCCCTACCAAAACCATATTTGACAGCCTTTGTTATTAGCACTAAAGTGCCTTCAGTACTTCTCAATAAAATTGACTTTAAAAGTACATCCAGATGACAAAGCAGAGTTCTGAGAGGCATGATTTCTTTAAGATAAAGTCGTACAGGTACGTGTGTAGGAAACATGGCTTTGTTACTATCCTATTTCCAGACACTAGCCTAGGCTACACACCTCCTTTGGGTGGAGAGGGAGAAGAGGAGCAAGTTTGGGTTGTTTTTTTTTCCAAATCCCTATGTTTTGCCCTTACCTTTTGAAGGGGCCTTGCTTTGCCAGGCAGCACTGAGGACGCCACGTGCTGGGGAGTGCCGAGGGCGGACGCTGACTTTGAGTTGCTGAACTCCTCTTCCTCCATCTTCTCCATGAACTGTGCGTTTTCATAGAGGGAAGCAGAGGCTGGTGCCTGAGGATGGCTCACCCCCCTGTCAACAGAGGCCATCTGCACCTCACCCCTGTCCCCGTCCCTGCACTGCAGACACGAATCGTACGCATCCGTTTGGCAACACTCCCAACGATCAGCTTTGCTCTCTTTGCTCTCCAGGTTCCTCCTGCAATCTGCCTCCATGGCAGCAGAGATGAGGTCAGGGCTGGAACCAGACATCCTCCTCTGGGCGTGGTTGCTGAGGGGGCTCCTCAGGGCGGCCGCAGGGCCGAAGTACCTCAGGTTGTTCGCGCAGTTGGCGATATCTTGCCCGTGGGCGTGGAGCCTCGAGGGATGGCCGTGGGGGTGGCCGTGGGGGGGC